TCTGCCACGTGAAATTGGCCGTGGGGCCTGGGGCCCACACCTTCTGGCCGGTGTTTTACTGCTAGCACTGCTAGCTGCCAGTTGGGTGGCATGTCGCCAAATCGTGCAAAAAGGTGACCGTTGAGTGCGGCAATCAGCACTTCGTGTTCGAGTGAGATGAATTTTGGTGTTCGGGTGAGATGACCCCACATGGTTGAACACTTGGGGCACTGAGAAACTGAGATCAGACAGGACGACTAAATGAAGTTTCTCTTGAAAACCTATAAGGTCTAGAAGTTCAGCCTTCAGAACAGAATGGTTGATATTTGTTTCTTAGATGTTCTGCTCTGATGTGATAGTTAGCTATATATATATCTATCCATATCGAGCCACATCCTCAACCACGACTCGCCATGGCCCTTCAAAGCTACCAAGAAAGACACACTTCAAAGCTGCCAAGGTGAACTGTGTAGATCTCGGTGGACGCCGTATCACTAACAAGGTTTTCGGTGTCCGTCCGTCCCACACTCCCGCCGCCCTGTGTGTGGGTGCCCTGGGCGCCCAGAACTGGGCAATGCTTCCCAGACACTCCATGGGACTGCCATAGGACTGCCGCCCCATTGACCCCCCCAGGCACCACCACCCCTGGCCCGATCGGTCCGGTATATATATATATATATGCCAGTCCCAGACAGGGTCGTGTCTGGGCACACCGGAACTGCTGGTGGATCCCGACGTTCGAACCCTTGGGACGGGTTGTGGCGGATCAACACCCGAGAGAGATGTGACAACCAGTGGTCACCACGCACAACACAAGATGGTCGACGGAAGAGGGCGGGGCTAGAGGGCGGATGGGAGGTTGGGGGAGGAAGAAAAAGGGCTTGGTTGGGTGTATGTTGGCATGAAGACCAAACGCTCTTCAGCTTTGGGTATGGAATTTGGGATTTCCATGTATGATTCAATGTATGATCCATTGTGGAAGCATCCTTTATATCTTCATCCAGAGCATCCAGATCCCACCCAAAACGCCCAGGGTGGCGCCTATCGCAGAGAGGCTTCCCAGGACCTTCGATTCCGCTCCACCGACTGCCGAAAGCTGCTCCGCGTGAGATCGGTTGGCCCTTGAGGTAGATGGCTTTCCTCCAAGTCAGAACGATGCATGAGTGAGCCGATCAATTGTTTTGGTGAGATGATCGAGTAAGTCTTCTCAGCACCTGAAGAAGAAGAAGATGGCCCAGCTCTGAAGACTGGAAGAAGCAGAGCCGGTTGACAGTGAGCAATGATGAGCAATGAAGCAATTCTTCAGAGTTCTTCCAGCACTTCAGGGCTGGAAAACACACCTGGTTGAGCTTTCAAGACCCTCTTGACCTTGACCTCCAAAGTCGGGGTTGAGGTGTTTCGGCGAATCGGATCCAAAGGAACCACGCCGTGGGTTGAGCTCATGGAATCTGGAAACTCCTTCCGGAAAGGCCAAAGAGCTACTGGTGAATTGGCAAGAAAAGTACAAGACGATGGCTTGGGCTCTGATTTTCTAAATGGTCTCTCAACATATTCAGCATCCGAGCCTGGCTGCCAAAGGCCATCAAAGGACAATCAAGAGCCAGGATGTGGACACCAGGGTTTGATTTGTTTGTTTAACATGTTCTAGACGAGTGCTTTCAAGGTTCCATCGGGTCTTCAGCAATCTTCCCTGGAACCGAAAACGACAAAACATAAACAGCGGGTAGATCGTGGTTATGGTATTGTGTTGGAAACGCGACACCAAACCCTTGGTAATCAGGGCAAACATCCTGGTTGAGTGCCAGAAAATATCAGAAAATCATGGGTTCGGGCACGGGTCAAATGCTACACTCCTTGAAATCATCATGGAAGTGGAAAATTGCCCCCCTGGGCCCCTGGATGACCATGTTCCTCTACCAACAGGTGGTTGTCCACTTCCATGATTGTTTCAGGGAGTGTGCTTGATCAACCCAGAGATGCATATATATATATAGTATAACCTACCACGTGAGAGGTCAAACATGTGTGCTTGATCACAGACAAAACCAGGAAAGCCATGAAACACCTAGCGTGTTCTTTTTGTTTTATGTGGTACTCAAGGTATCTCAAGGTATTGTGCAATAACGAAGGGGTCTTCTTTGGAAGGTGACTGACAAACTGCACACGTATAAACTCGTATATGTTTTTCCTTTCTGTTTCTTCGAAGGGCTTTCTCTTGAGTTTGACCTTCCCAGCCGTTCCTTTCCTTCTCGGTCCGACCACTCGCTCCTTCTCCGCGCAAGGCCAGCGAGTGGGAAGAGCGCAAGGTGCAGCGTCAGGAGGAGCAGATCGCCCTCCAGGAGTGGTGACGGGGGGGCTTTTCAGCACACCTTTGAGGTGACGAGATCAGTTCTGAGACGGAGAGTGTTTCGACCTGCTGAGAAAAGTGACCCAGCTTGATATTTCCAGTTTGAGGTCAGGGAGTGGCCAGGTCGGTCACTTTGGGACCCTCAAAAGAAAAGGACTCAAAAGGTCAAGAAGCTAGCACGTGGTGTTGATTGTTTTTGCATTTTGACCGCGATTCAGTACGTGTCAAACGATTTGGACATGAAATTACACGGCTCCGGACGGCTGCAACCATGTGAGACAGGGACATCGAAGTGTTCTGGCTGGCCAGGACACCATTAAGATGCTGAACTCCGATGAGTCTTTGGACTTGTTCAGGCCCATACGTTTTTGAGCGCAGTGAAGAACGCAAGCTCAACGTGTTCTGCGAGCTCAACGGTCCATGTGTGGCGAGGGAGGAGGGAGGGGGGTCAACTCAGGCCCTTTCGCAAGCTAGTTGTTTGAGACGATCCAAACTTCAAACAAGTTCTTGCATCTTATCTCCAGTCCAGTGGGCCCGCGTCGTTCTGGCGGGCAGGGGAGGATTCACAAGAATTGAAAGACTCAGTCTACGTCTCACTTCGGGGTCAAACCTCTCAGACACTTCCTGGGCGAGGAATCCGTGTTCCCGTTTGCATCCGTTTGCCACACATGGGGTCGCGCCAGGAAGCGCAGCACTTCCTTGCTGCAGCTTGGAAGCCACCAAGACAAGGCGAAAGCAGATCCGAAAACCGATAGGGCGCAGAAAATCGGCTTCCATCCTAATCACGAAAGGTAGCTTGAGCTACCTGAGTTCTCCTTGCTTTAGCAAACATGTATTACAATCAGGAGTTGGGATTGTGCATTGTTTGGTCCTGTAAGAGTTGATTCTGTTCGTCGGGGGGGGGGCGGGCCCCCCCCCCCCTCAAATCCCCCCTGCGCCGGT